CGACGCTCTTCCGATCTCCCCAAAACCCCAAAACCCCATACGAATTTAAGAAATGATCGATTAATTTGAGAAATAATTAAAACATGGGAAACATTTTATAAAGTATTGGATTCTATCAAATTCATTTTACTATTTAGCCACTGATAACACTGACTTAAAAAACCCAAAGATACTTAAAAGATAAGCATCTCAAGTGAATCCTAAAAGTAAAGTCAAGTCAATTCAAATTGAGATAGCCCCTAATTAGTAAGTATTCAATTTTATATTGTTTTTTACAAGTATTATTCTAAACTTAATGGAATAACTCAAATAAAACTTTGTTGTTAGGTTTTGAACTATCACTCTTAGCGAGGATAGCAGTTGTAACTAGCTTATGAATTTTTGTCAGTTATAAAGCCACAAAAATGGTGATACTCGAACAATCCTAGCTCTAGTCTCAGTAGTTGATGGCCAAGAAACACTTGACTATTACTTATCACTTCGTCACAAAACATTAAAACGTCTTCCTGATGAAGGGTGCTATTTGAGAGTACTATATTAACCTCAGATATTCCGCGAGCTGTCCTTATAGTCAGCAAATTCAATGAACTTAAGCAGTACTTAGAGTTAAAGCATTGAAACTGGCCATGCAAGTAAGTCTCGTAAAGGTATGCCAAAAAGAATGGCTAATTATGATGTAATCAAGTTGATTGGCAAAGGAGGATTCTCTAAAGTTTTGCTAGGTATGTCTCCTACTTCTGTTTTTTTTAATTAAATATTGTTATTTAGTCCGTTAGAAATCTTCTGGGAAGCTATTTGCAATGAAGATAATCAATAAGGAAATGATTAAGCAGAGGGGTAAGATCAAACAAGCTCAAATTGAGAAAAATATACTATAATTCGCAGTTCATCCGTACATTGTCAAGCTTGAAGAAGCTTTTTAATCAGTAATTTAGATTTATTCATAAATGATGGCTATAGAAATTTCATTTGCATCTCGTAATAGAGTTCTGTGCAGGTGGAGAACTGTTCTACCATCTCTAAATTAGAAGAAGATTCACTGAAGCTCAGACTAAGTTCATTAGTGCTTAAATAATTCTAGCTTTGGAATACTTACATAAAAACGATGTCCTATATAGAGATCTAAAGGTATCAACCATAGATTAATTTAATACTTATTTACAGCCAGAAAACGTTCTTGTTGACATAGATGGAAATATCAAGCTTTCAGACTTCGGCTTATCGAAGGAAAACTTCAAATTTAATCATCTATCAGACTCTTTTTGTGGATCACCCGAGTACATCTCACCTGAAATGCTGTTGAGAGGCTTGCATTCAAGGATGCTAGATTTCTACCAATTTGGAGCTCTTCTATACGAAATGCTGACAGGACTTCCTCCTTGCTATAATGAGAATAAGGATGTTATGTATTAGCAAATCATGAAGAAAAATCCATAGTATCCTTAGTTCTTAAGTCCAGATGCTGTCAACATTCTCAAAGGACTTCTGTAAAAGGAGCCTGAAGAGAGATTAGGTTTCAAAAATTAATTTGAGGAGATCAAATAACATCCATTTTATAAGGAAATTAATTGGAATGCAATGGTTAAAAAAGAGTTTGATTCTAAGATCCCAAACCAAGTCAAATACATTCTCAGGCCTATATTAGGTAGAAGCTATTTTGACACCTAATATTTGGAAAAATTAACAGAAGAGTTGATCGCTGATTTGTTTTAAGAAAATGATATAAAGAAGCCTTCCTAGCAAAACTCGAGATAAAATTAGCAGTAAATATAGCTGACCTACAACTTTAAACCTGTGTAATCAACTTTAGATGGTATCGAAGATGAGAGTCCAATCAAAATATAAGATAAATTAAAGAGTAATCAATCAAAAGAAAAAGTGCATGTGACGGGATCAGGAAATCTTGTTTTTGGGAAATCAATATAAAATCTTCAAAGCTAAGTTCAGAAAAATAACGAATAAAAAGTAGATATGATCCAAAGTTCATCACCTATCTCGATGTCTCGCTCGATTTAAAATCAAATTTTATTTAGCATTAAGACAATAGAAAATAATCACTCAAATCCCTAAACACCAGACTATTTCTAAAGTAATGTTAAATAAAATCAAGACCTTAGCATGAATGATATTTAACCGGTGGAGCTACAAAAACCAATAAGCTTAGCCAAGATAATAAAAAATTATGAAAATTAATACTTATTTGATGATCCTATAGGCTCAGGCTAAATTCCTTAGCTCAATGTCAAAATTCAATAAGAGGATAGCCCTAGCTGCTAAACTGATAGTTCATTTGATGATCAGCCACTCCTGGAGGAAATTAAGATTCAGAACATGCAAAAGCATGAAGATGAAGATAATCCTTATGATTTTGGGAAGTTAATCAATGGGGATATCAATAATTATAGCAATGAAATGGATGGAAAACAAAGGTGTAAAAGCTTGACCCCTCTTAGAGAAATCAATATTGAAAGCTAATTAAGTTAGTACTTTGATCAGTTTAATTATCAAGTTACCACTAAAAATCAGAGTGTTGTCTAAACTAAGCCAAAAGGGGCACCAAGAAAGTAAAGTCAAATAGAACAGTTATCAAATGGTTTTCTTAATCTTAAAGAGTTAAGTAAACAAGTGATTAGAAAGAGAAATCAACTAACCAACACAAATAAGAAGTATAATGAACTCAATGAGAGGTACACCCTAAATATGATAAAATTCAACGAAAAATTAAATAATATAGTTAGTGAGAGAAAGCGTAATTTAACCAATAAAACTTTTGAGAAAAGTACATCAAAAGTCAGAGTCTCTTCAAATCAGATAAAATCTCGTTCACTTTCAAGAAATTAGAGTCAATCTAAGATCAAGAGTTAAACACATACAAGGAATCCAAGTTATCTTAATCATAACAAGAGTTAAAATAATGGATCAAGAAATAGCCAAGGAGAATTCTAATTTATTAATCTCTATCCAAAGGAGAAAAAGTCTTTTCAAGAAATGATAAGAACAATCAAGGTAATAGAAAATAAAGTAAGTGAAGACCAATCTGAAGTAAATAGCCATTTTAATAACAAGATGCATAAGCTATCTTCAGTTGATAACTAAAGCTCATCTTCTCCATCAGATGTATACTCTTAGATGGCAATAGCATAGTAATCAGATATCTCTAGAATCAGCGAAAGTCATGGGCTACAGAAAGCCAATGATTCTCCACTCAGAAGGATTTTTAATTAAAGAATGAATGAAGTAAGATCTAGTATTATAAAGCCTAAGGCCACGAATGAAACTGGTTAAAAACAGAAGAGATAGTCGTTTTCGATTATTCTTAAAGATAAGCCGGTCACCGAGTACAGAGAGAAATAGCCAAATATGAAAATAAATATATTAAGCACAGAAGTTTTGGATAAACAGAAGGATGAGGTAGAAATACAGAAAATAAACTTAAAAGCAGGGGCACAAACTCCTTAGTATAATCAAATGTAAAACAGACAGAGAAAAACCTCTAGTTAGACTATCGACTACAACAATCATCCGAATAATAAAAAAGTTAATTAGCCTAAGGTATCATCTAATACTATGTAGCATTCGTAATAAATGACTCTGATCTAGTCCAGCAACATTCCCTTAAAGTTAAAGAGTGGGCATATGAAGCCTGTTAGATAATTGAGTAATATAAATAAATTATGAAAGATGATGGCAACCTTCGAGAGATTATGATGATATGGTGTAGGAATAAATTAATATATGAGAAAAAGGATATAATTAAATTCCAAATATTCTTAATTTAATGAATATAATCTTAATAAATTACATACTCTTTTATTAGTAAGGGGTTTAAGTTATTGTCTGATTACTTATCAAAGTATTCCCTCAATAATTATTAGATTTATCTCTCCATGTTAGCTTTGCTCCTTTTTCCTCTAAATAGTCATAAATCTTCTCTAGCTTAGTATTTGTCATATCGGAGGCAAGTCTTTCCTTGATTAATATAAGTGGCATTTTATCATCACTGGTCACTGCATTAACATCAGCACCAGCTTCAACTAATATCTTAATCATTTCTAAGTCATGAAGATGCTCACAAGCTACAATCAATGGAGTTGAGGAACTGACTTTTTCTACCTCATCAATACCTTCCTTGCCTTTTCCTTTAACTAGCAATCTTAGAATTTCACGGTTTATTTCGATGCCTACATCATCATTCTCCATCTCAGCTTCTTGACAGCCAAAAAGATATAGATGCAAGTACTTTTCAAAAGCTTCATGCTAAAGACTCATCTCTAGCTCATCGATAATATAGGTGATTATGTTAATTCTGCGATTCTTAACTGCTGCCTTCAAACCCTTAGTAACATGCCAAAACATCAATTCTTGATCATCACTCTCTCTAAGTAGTCTTTCAAAATTTTCTAAATCCCCGCGATCGGCGTAGTCTATCATGGCCTTACCCATACAAACGAATCTGAAAAACAAATCGACATTTTCCTTTTCAAGTTTCTTTGCTTTCTCCCTAATTTTACTTTAGAATTAATATTGAATGAGGAATATGTACATTAAGTAACCACCATCAGTGTTTGTAAATACTTTCTTAGAGTTGATCTGCTCAGTTGTCTGGGAACGATGCTCTTACATTGTTTATTGATTCATATTTAAAAATAATGATTTTTGAAATAGCAAATTTATAATGACTCAAGGGGTTTTGGGGTTTTGGGGTTTTGGGG